AAAAGATGTTTCGGTAAAAAAGTGATATGACATTGCATTGATAATTTGAGCAGTGTGTGACTCTATTTTAACAAGAACAGACAATTTATATTAAAAACAATGGTAGATTCTCTCATTAATAGTAAAGAAATAAGTAAGAAACAAATAAAGAAACAAGTAGTGTGTTCTCTACGTTCACATTATTTTGTTTCCTGTATAAAAAAATATAGAAAGAATTGAATCTAAAGTATCATATAAAAAAGAAAAAATAATCTTATACGATTTCTTTTGCAGGATGTCTCGCGGCGGCGACAGTAGGCGCTTCCTTTCCAGCTTTTGCGATTTTATTCGGTGACATTTACGGTGTATTGAATCTTCCCGATGCCGAGGAAGTCATGAAGGAGACCATTTTCTTGTCGATACTCTTCATCGTCGTCGGCTTAATTACAGGAATTGGCACTTTTCTGCAGATGCACATGTTCGGTCTGGCTGGCGTGCGTATGACGACGCGAATAAGAAAGATGACGTTCAGCGCGATGTTGAAGCAGGATATGGGCTGGTACGACGAGGACAAGAACAGCGTAGGTGCGCTCTGTGCGAGGTTGTCATCGGACGCGGCAGCTGTCCAAGGTGCGACCGGGACTCGCATCGGCTCTATGCTCCAGGCTTTCTCGACACTTGTGATCGGGATCAGCATATCCATGTACTACAGCTGGAAGATGACGCTGGTCTCAGTGGTGTCGATCCCGCTGGTACTCGGAGCGGTATTCTTCGAGGCGCGGGTCATGGGCGGTCAAGGTATGGAGGAGAAGAAGAAGATGGAGTCAGCCACCCGAGTGGCCGTCGAGGCAATAACAAACATACGTACGGTTGCCAGTCTCAACAAGGAAGAAGTATTTTTGAAAAGATACTGTGTAGAACTAGATCACGTCGCACGAGCGATGAGAATCAGAAACAGACTAAGAGGATTGGTCTATTCGTGTGGACAGACCATACCGATGTTTAGTTATGCTATTTCGCTTTATTATGGTGGCTACCTGGTGGCTAGGGAAGACTTAAGCTACGAAAAAGTCATCAAGATATCCGAAGCACTCATATTCGGCTCGTGGATGCTGGGACAGGCGCTCGCCTTCGCGCCAAACTTCAACACAGCTAAAATTTCGGCCGGCAAAATCTTCAAGCTACTCGACAGAGTTCCGGAGATCACTTCGCCACCGGGATCAGAAGGAAAGGATTTAGATTGGGTAAGCTCTCATTTTCATGTAAGCTTAGTTACATAAACCACGAGTACACAATGTGTTTTGGCTACCGCGAACTTTCTCTCTGTCCTGTATACATATATTTAGCGGTAGGTAATTAAATAAATAATATTTCGGAGATTCAAATCGCAGCTAAGTTTAAACAACCAATATGTTTAATGTTGAATAATAATAATGGACAAAAGATAAGACATGTAATTAAATTTTGCTGAGAGAAGAATGGAAAATTCGCCAAAGAATGTAAAGCGATAAAGCGCAGGACATGTACAGTAATTAGCTTTAACTTTTAATTAATCTCTTATAAAGTTAATCGAAATTCGCGCGACAATGAACACAACATTTAAATTGATTACTAAATCATAAAATTATTAGCCTTACTGATTTGTTTTAACGCACGTGCCGATGAGTTGTTATCGGTATAGTCGTGTATTTCATTGCGGAATAATTTCCCTTATAAATGAAGTAAATTCCCAAGTAAATAATCAAATTATTAAAATTGAATGAATTAATGAAGAAATATTTAAATATTTCAGATGCAATCCATTTAATGCTACAAATACTTTGAAGCATTTGATTGATCAATTAAAAAATGCTTCAAAGCATTTGTAACATTAAGTGTACTGTAGTCTTTAATCCCGAAACACAATAGATGTAGTAGGCTTTAAACTGTAAGATATTATATTGGTCAATCACAGTCGAATATGAAGAAAATAATCATTATAATTGATTTCTAACGACTTAAGATTTTACATTTTTTGTTTCGGGACTTATTATATAAGAAAAAAATTCGTTCGAACTGATTTCAAGGAGCAAAATTATTAGCGGATTTATTTTCAATATAGACTTCAAAGATAGTTTCAAGGAATTTCCTCGTTAATAATTCCTTAAACAAAGTTGTCACCAGTCTGTTTTATAAATTCTTTCCTTCTTTCGTAACTCTCTAAAATTTTTAAGTAAAGACGCATTTATAATTGCTATTATCTCGTTCAAAAACGTAGAATTAGAGTCATATAAAATTTGCTACGTGTTAGACGCTGAATAGTATTTTACCATTTAACGAATTATTAACGAATTATTAGGATTGTTAAACGGGATCTCTCTAGTGGAGATCCGCATGATTTACAATGCGCTCGACAAACTGCTTACGTAACCACGTCGCATAGAACGACAGAGAATGCACGGGGATTGCAAACGGTTTTGATGATTCGTGAAGCGTGCGCAGTGGACGCGCAATTAATCCGATAATTACCGCGACGCCTTGCTATAAACGCTGCTAATTGCCGGATGCATGTTTAATCTTCGCATCGAAACATGCACTCTGAAAAATAACGAATGTCTATATAATTCTTATTGTGTTCGTGTTAACAACAATATGGGGATTTAATACTATGGGTTTTAAATCTACACTATGATGGTGTTGATTAACACCAGCGGTTTGAAATCCACACCATGTTGGTGTTAATATTAACATCACAACAGAGTAAAAATTATATAGATATCACATGGATATTAAATCCACACCGATATTTTTTAGTGTGGTTTACTGTTTCGTTTACAGTGTATCGTGTTTGCACGCGGGTCCATGTACAATTCGCAATACTTGTGTAAATAATGTAACATTCGTTAGAAATTTGATCGTTTGATAGCACTGCTTCGAGTGATGTCTCGTTAATTACGTTCAAAATGCAAAACTTAAAATCAACATCGATATCTAAGAAGACTTGGCATAAATTAATCCAGGACTTGATTTTAGTCACCTGATTTTTTTCTACGTAAACGTATTATCACCTGGAAATTTATACTCTAGTTAAAATCGTTATTATTAATCTTTAATAAACGCCTCATTACGGGAAACAATATATGAGTGTACAGCATATCTAATCCAAAATTCCCTTATTTATAACTTATATAAAAATAAACACATTATAAAATTTTTTTTAAATCAAAACGTTAGACATTAAGAAATATAATGGTAGCAAAGTGTGTATCTATATTTATTGATAAAAAAGTTATAAGTAATAAAAAAATATTAGAAACATTTTGAAAAAAATCGTGTCTATTGAAGAGCTATTTAAGAGTTAACAGTATATTGTATACTATTATTTTCCGAATTCATTAGAATTTGAGAACATTATGGATATGGATTTAATCACAATGTAAAAAAAAATAAACACAAACTAAATAAATACGAAATAATCACGTTAAATAGCTTATTATAATATAATAGTATTTTTAAAAAATACAAATTTTAATTAAAATGTTTTTATTACAAATTTTCGATGAAATTGAAAAACACTTTGTAAAATCTTTGAAGTGAAATCTAATGTTAAGAGTGACAAAGAATAACAATTGAGCCAGTGTTGAAAAAGAATGGCTAATTGTCAATTTCTAACAGTAAGATTTCACTCTTTAGAATTAGATTTCACTACAAAGATCTTAGATAGCATGTTCAAAGGATCGTAAAGTATAATTATTAAAAAGACAAAAATACGTATTAAATAATACCTATAAAACAATATTTTACAACAAATCATATTTTTTTACCATTAGGATGCAAACTCCAGATGACTTTCCCGGCTTTAAATAAGGGATAGAATATCTCCAGTGAATATCTAAATTTTAATCGTTCTTCCGAAAGAAAAAATTAATAAAACGAGTTCTTGCGCATTCTTCGTGTAATAAGAGTTGGAGAAAACGAGCGGCGCGTTACGAGATTAACACGAATCTCCTCCTGGTTAACGAGTCATTTTATGTTTTTCACGCAGAAAGCGGACGGATTGATACAATATTCAAAGATCAACTTCAATTATCCGACGCGGCCAGAAATGCCAGTGCTCAAAGGGCTGGATCTAATCGTAAAGCCAGGACAGATGGTGGCCCTCGTGGGCCAAAGTGGCTGCGGAAAGTCTACATGCATCCAATTGTTACAACGACTCTATGATCCGATTTCCGGCATCCTGACATTGGACCGGCGTGACATCGCCTCGGTTTCGCTGTCCACGCTTAGATCACAGCTTGGCGTTGTGGGGCAAGAACCAGTGCTCTTCGATCGAACGATTGCGGAAAATATAGCTTACGGCGACAACAGCCGACAAGCATCCATGGACGAGATCATCGAGGCAGCCAAAATGTCCAACATTCATTCATTTGTAGCTTCACTACCGTTGGTTAGTTGTTGCTGTTATATAATATTCGCGCATCAGTTGCGTGTAACAAAAAGCGTGGTTTATTTTAAAAAGAAAAAGAAAAAAAGAAAGAGAAATAAGAGTCTTTTATTACTGTTACATATAATGTAAGTGGTACGCAAATACAATAATAATAATAAGTTTAACACATTAAAAAAATGTTAAAAGACTTCTATTAAATATTAATATAATTAAATTGGATTGAATAATTAATATTGGTTTTTTAAATTAAAATTTCATTACAATTGGTTTAAAATAATTTTAAAATAGTTAATTGCAAAATTAAAAAAAAAAAGGTTCTGAGGGAAGGTCTAACGTGTTAATATTATTAATACTTTTTTAATCATTTCTTCACACAATTAATTATAATCCTATTACTTTTCTGTTTATTTAGGGTTACGATACGAGACTGGGATCAAAAGGCACTCAGCTCAGTGGCGGCCAAAAACAACGAATAGCAATCGCACGTGCATTATTGAGAAACCCCCGAATTTTGCTGTTAGATGAAGCAACTTCAGCCCTCGATACTCAAAGCGAGCAGGTGAGAATTGCCATCTGTTCTCCTAAAAAAACCTATTCGAGAACAATTATTTTATTAACAATTTTTCCTCTTTAACGTTAGATAACATCGTGTACAAAAATAGACTCTGTAATTCAGTGGAAAAAGAATCTAGTTACATTAATTGGAATTCTGGTTAAAAATGGACAAATTAGAATTTTTTGGTTAAATGTATTATAATTCAAAATCTTCTAGTACATATTTTCAAACAGCAATTTTTTTAGTATACATTATACTCAAATATTTCTATAATTTTCTGAATAATATTTGAAAATGTAAAACAAAGACGACGAACAAACACAGCGACGATTGCATCTAAAATAAAACCACAGATAGATAGTTGCGCAATATCTGCAGGAAGTCACTTATTACAACCGTAAAAAAATGTGCCACGCGAGATTTGCGAAGCAGAACGATCTCCATCCGGACTTTAGCGTTTTGCTTGATGTAGCGTGTACGATTTCTCGATTAACGGCGTATTACAATCCCCAAGATCACGTCTCGGCCCAACAATCACATTGCAGCTCGTAGATGACGAGATTGGAAATCCGATTGAAAATTTCCCGAAGAGCACGGCTGTTATCGTTATTGCAAAAGACCGACCGGCGATAGACAATCAAGTTAATGGTTATCGAAAGTGACGGAGACGACGGTTTGTTTCGATTCTGCGTTTATCCGCAGATTTCCTTCGCAAATCGCATACTTCATAATATCGTACTGTATAATCATTAAGAACGTCTGTTGTATTCGCTATGTGCGAAATTTCGCTGCTTCAGTCGACAAGAAGATAGCGCTTGCACATACTTGTTTATTTCTTTTTTTTATTCTAGTCGTGGGCTGCATTAACCCCGAGTCAGCATTGAGTTTTTAGGTCAATCCATTTTAGCTACGTTTTCCTTTACTCTGCACGAAACAAGTGTATATTCATGCTTTGTACGAGAAGGGAAACGAAAAACGCAACGCGAAGTACTGCTAAAATAGACAGAATTTGTAAAAAAAATTTAAATTTTATCTTCAAGAGCTGTTTTTATACAAATTATGTATGTATCTAGAGAAAGAAAGAGGATTGTACTATTTTACCTTTTATTAAAATAACTCAATAGGCATTTATGTAATATAACTTTTTTTTTGTTAACAAAAGTTGTTATATAAATTTGTTAGCCAATAAGTCTATTTTTTCATTTTATGAATAACTTGTGATTCAGACTTAATCTCACTTAACTTGGTAATAATGTAAAAATTACATTTCTCTAGCCATTTAATTATTAAACTGATGGTTTTATAGTATGGTAAGTCTAACAATTATTCACTACGAAACCATTAGTTTAATAATTAAATGGCTAAAAAATATAATTTTTACATTATTATCAGATTAAGTTTAATGTTAACTAGAAAACGAAAAATTAGGCCATCATAAAATGGTACCAATTATCGG